GACGGAGGCGAGGATTTGCCTAACAAGGTAGTGTCGATTGCGGTTGAAACCTTGATCTGGCCTTGTAAATTCGCTGCAGCTATCGCGCTGTAAACGTTTTTTATTGCTGGTAAAACAAACTTAGCTTCTGCATCAGCAGGGTGGATTTCGTTTCCGACTGCAATGTATCAAAATTTGACACCAGGAGAGTAAGCCACGACATTTTTCTGGACCCAATCTTTTGCTTTTGCAGCATCTGTCAGGCTCTGAAGAGTGGTGTTGATGCGTGATTTTAACACCAACTAATCGACACGTGCGCAACGTTGATTAGTCAAGAAACACACGTGATTATGGATAGAGAATGTGAAATAAATGCAATGAGAGCTTTTAAAGTAGTTCGGATGCTAAGGTAGCAAGTCCTACATCCACTGATTTGTATTAATATGGTGGGTCAGGTCACAAAGTGGACTGACTTACAAATGAGCTTTTAAAGTAGTTCGGATGCTAAGGTAGCAAGTCCTACATCCACTGATTTGTATTAATATGGTGGGTCAGGTCGCAAAGTTGACTGACTTACAAATGATTGGGAAAAGTAAATACAAAGTTTTTAGAGAGAGAGAGTTCAAGTATAAAATGGCTGAATCCCCTTAATGAAGGGGTCTTCCTCTTTTTATATCGAGTTAAATGCGTGTAATCATCATTAAATCCTTGGGTTGGTGTGAATGTCAGGACATAATCCTGCTTTACGTCTCATTGCCTATTTCCCAAGCTGATTTCACGCGATTTGGAGCAGGGAAATGGACACGTGGGAGCTCCAGGGCACCTGGCAGGCCTGACGTGCGCTTACTGTTCTGATGGGAGCAGGTCACACTTCATCACGTGACTTTCCACGTCAGCCCTTGTTTTCTCAGACATAACAGAAGTCCCCTAGTTTTTAAGGTTTGAGGATCGAACCTTGGAAACTAAGTCATGCCGCGATTGGAGGTCCTGGTAATTTCGACCTGAATGGAAGAAGCTTGGGACAGGGCCTTTTGCGAACACGACCTCGCACAATTTTTGCCCAAACGACCTGACAATCATCATCCTAGCGACCTGGATTCGTCGGACATTCCTTACCGTGCCTTAGGGTTGGAGATTCAATGAGCCTGCTTCCGCGCTGTCAAGCACTCTGCACGTGTTAAAGCGCCTGGCAGGCCCATTAAATGCATTGTGTGCTGACCCGGCGTTGTTTTGACAGCATTAATATCCCACTTGAGGTACGTATTTAAGATTTGTTGTATTAGTTAAAAGTTTATTGTTTCAACTTTAATTGAGTTTGTATGTTGAGTTGGTTGAATTGTTGCCTTGAAATTGGTTGAGTTTTGGTGAAGTTGGAAATCCAATCTTCGCCGGGGCGAAGAATAAGCTTCGCCGCGGCGAGGAGGAGGAGNGCACCATTCTTCTGGAATTTGGGAATGGTTGCCATGACAAAGCTTCTTTCTCCTGTATGCAGTTACTTTACCCAGAGCTTGAATTGGCAGATTATTAGATTTTTCAAGTGGCTTGTTATTGAGTTATATGTTATTATAATGCCCATATATTATGGAAGCTGGTGCAGAAGCATAACTAGTGGTCATATCATATGTAATGTTCTGAGCATCATTTAATGATTTGGTGATTGATTAATTCCTAAAAAAACTTAAATTACAACTGACACATGCACCTTTAATAGATAAAAATCTTCTGGAACTTATTCCATGTAACTGTTCCTATCAGGAACTTGGTAGCAAAATCTAAGAAACAAATGCTGCATCGATTACTGATTTGATCAAGCATCTGTTTAAAATGAGTAGCTGTTAAAACTTTAGTTTTGGTTCAATATTTCAGGAGTATCTGAGAGACCGAAACAAAGTACAACAGTTGGTTCAGTTGTTTGATCCTGTAGTCCAGGTATTTGATGGGATCGCTGGAGAACGTGTATCCATGAGGGTGAGATTACAATATTAACTTACTTTTATTATTCTTGATTTAAACAAGTTATGAATATTCTTTGAATATATTTCATTCATTTTCTGATCTTATATTTAATAAACATGATCAAACATTGTATTTCATTTTCTTTCAAAATAAACATGATCATAGATTATGTATTAGATGTGTGTTTCTTTTCTTATGCATTTCTTGATCACGAACTTGAAACTCAAGTGCATGCTTACATAAACATGTGTTCATTGAAATGAGATTCCTGTGTGTTGTTAGAATATATACGTGTTATCGTGTTTTATTTTAAATGAATCTGACTTGATTTGGTAAGTACAATTTACCGTTTGAAGTTGAATAAAAATAATTTACATTCTTTGACAATTTACAAGAATTATTCTTTTAACATGTGTTAGGATACGCATTATTGTGTTACATATTCCTCAAATCTGAAATGATTTGATGAGATATGATTTAATATATATATATATATATACATATATATAGAACACACACTAACTACAAGAACAAGATCTTACCATCTAAATATGAATAAAAATAATTTATATTCTTTGACATGTTATCTATAAGAACTATTTTTAACATATGAGTTTAGAATACACGTTAATGTGTTACATGTTAACTAGATCTAAGCTCATTTGATGAGAAATATTAACCTTACATTACATATATAGAGGCATAAAAACTCAAAACCTAAGTGCATATTTACATAAACACATTCATTGAAACGAAGCTTATTGACATATGCCTTTAGAATATATATGCGTAAACTATTGTTTTCAACACATAAGTGGCAAGAACCAGGGATGGAGCCAAGAAACTTATTCTAGAGGGTCGAAATGTAATATTTAATGAATAAAGGGGTCAGAGTTAGGAGGTTACATTTATGGGTGATATGGTTTAAGTTCAAAACCTGAGGGGGCCCAAAGAATAATTGAATTTATGAGGACTAAATTAATAGTTGACTATGTAAAGTTATGAAATATTTTGTAGCCCTGATTGGGCATGGGGCCATGGCCATCCAAAGGAAAACTATCTACCTAGGAATACAACTATACCAACAACTCTCGATCACAAACTTTCTCTCACAACCCTGATGTGATAGCTCATAATTGGTTAATTTACAACGGGTCCCACATGGGTCTCACATTGGTCCCACTAATTAATTACGAGTTACCACGTCTAAGTTGTGAGAAAAGATTGTTGGTGTAGTATTACTCATCTACCTAGTATAGACCTCTTTGGAGTCCTTGTAATAACAATCAAGTTCTTATACAATAAGAACTTGCAGTATCAACCTTGGTTATAGTACCTCGATCAGTCCACCAACTAGTCTCCAATACAATGATCGATCTCTAGATTGGACGCACTAGCTTTATCAAGAGCAGGGANTTCTTTTATGTTTTCTTTCTCTCATCTATGTGATAATAATTAGCATGTTTACCGACTCTACAATTTAACCAAGATGTTGTCTCATGAAGTGTTTGTTCTATCTCCCAACAGACGGCATATTTGGACGTTTGTAATGATACCAGTATGCATTACGTGCGAAATCCTTGAAGGATAGAGCAATAGCTGCAAATGTTCTAGCAATAACTACTGGCAGAATCTATCCCGGAGTGAGCAATGGTGCTACTATGAATATTTTTGTTCTGCAGTGTGCACATCTGGCAATATAAATCTAAGAAAAAATTAGAATAGAAGTAACCAAAATGGAAGGGCAAAAGATTCATTATTGTAACATGTAAACTCCACAGAATCGTTGCCATAAAGTAAATATTATCTATGTTGGTAATCTTACCTGGCTTTTTGAGATTTTTACTCACATATATAAGTATATAAGTGCTACACTTTTCATGGCAATGATGGCTGCAGAGCTAGTTTGTGCTGCGAGAGATGAAAGCAAGGGAGAGCAGAGAGGCTAAGGTGATTATACCTGCCAATTGTTTATCCACTATCCAGTATCACTCCGCTTGCTGAATTAGTTTCAACTAATGATTGACTTTTTATAGTTTATTCTGATTTTTTGCATTTCTTTTTTATAATTTTGTGAACCCCATCAACAAAAATGTTGAGACCGTTCATAATTATCTTTCTTTTTTTCATTTTTAGTTAAATGAACCTGCTTTAAGACCTTTTAGTCAAATCTATTTCAAACACCAGGTTTAGTAACCATAAAACCTATAAGTTTACACTTCTGAATCTTATTTAAACTCCAACAGCTAAGGATTGCAATCAACTTATGAATTTCCTCTTAGGAATATTTTAATATTTGTCGGCGAAGGTTGTTTGCGGATGGGAGTGGAGGAATTCATTAAAGGAGTGAGGTTTGAGCAATAATCATCATGTCATATGAATATAAGATAACTATGTGAGCAGTAAATGCCCTATGGAGTAGAAAAACTGAAGGATTTATATACAAGGAGTTGGCTCGTTACCCATTAGTTCAAGCTAGTTTCATAATCATGCATACAAGCTTTGGGAGCCAAAACCAAAGGAGTATCTATGCATTTCCCTCACAAAACTTTTAAATAGCTTGCTTTCCTCCCGTCTTTGTCCTTGTATATATGATTTATGTGCAAATATGCTCTTCTCAGATTCAGCTATTATACAGCAGGCACTGGTGGTGCTGGTCCTACAATGTTAGCTACTAGTTTTTTACTTCTTGGAGAGGAAGTTGTTGCATCTAGTAAAGGTCAGTTTCAAGGGCATATTGTGAATTATCTATGCACACTTGTTCTACTTATATGATATCTAACCATGATGATGCAATATCCAAGTAGGAGAAAAGGTCAAACTGAAGCCGTATAGTGGAATGATCAATGTTGATTTCGGAAAATGAATTAGAAGAAAAGACGTCTTTCTATTGTAAGTTCATAGGAAAGAAGTTGATTTCAAAACTTGTGGGTAAAATTTCTCAGATGATTTGAGAAACTTTACAGTTTTCATAAATTTATGGGACGCTTTTAACCAATTTCAAAACTAGCGCGACTTTTTTGTATATTAGTAAAATTCAGGGTAAGTCAAGCAATATTCCTCACAGTTATATTCTGTGGACTAGTAAAATCATCCTGAAGTATGGATAATATTTTTTTTAAATACCATGATAAATTCTCATGGCTAAATTAGCATAGAGAACTGATCAATATATAACAGTTACTNAAATGAAGGGGCCAAAGTGTGAAAATGAATTTTAAGTGATGGAATTGTGCGCATATATAAATTCTGGCTGGACCAGGCTGGTGACCCCAGGCCTGTGAATAGCTCTATGTTAGATTGTATGGATAGTATTTGGTGAATTAGATTGTATGTGATAGTAGTTGGTGAATGCTATTGTATTTGGTATCATAAAAGACTACTTTTTGAGTGAATGTTCTCTCGTTATCTACAATCTGTTGGTATATGCTATTTTATGTGGTATCATATATGACTACTTTTTTGATTGAGTAATCACTTCTTGTCTACTCATCTGTTGGTTTGAAATAACACAAAAGCAGGATTGCCTGTTGGTTACAAGAGATGCCAGTTCCATAGAGTGATCAAGGATTTTATGATTCAAGCGGGTGATTTTGTCAAGGTTTGTTCCTTCAACTCCTGCATTTAAGCTTGTTTATGTTTTTATCATTTTAGTTACTCTATGATTGATGCTAATCCATGAATAAAAGAGTCAGATTCTTAGTTTAATTTAAGATTGTTTCGGTTCATGTTTCTTCCCTTAGTATACTGGAAGATGCATATCCTGGTGATTGGAAGGACATTTCAAGTTTCCTTTTTCTTTGAAGTGAAGTTAAAGTTTGACATAGCAATTTGAAAAAGGAAAATGGAGTGAATTTGTGACTGCATTTCTTTTGTGCTATGTTCGTATGGCCCTTAGTAGAATTAACCCTCTAATGCTAAAATTTAACAGCTTAAAACTCTCATATAACTTGAAAAACCAACTTTTTAAGCATTATTTATTTAATAACTATAATATACAGAAATTAATAGTTACTCTGGGTTTTCTAGTCCACTAGCTCATTTTTTTCCTTCCATTCGGATTACTTATTCTAACCTTTTGATTTGTAAATTCTCTTTAAATTTCCTTCACAAATTTTTGGAAATTTTAATTTACAATTGCTATTAAGAAACTTAAGAACTTGATATTTCTTTTAGTCATATCCTTTTGCACAATTATTTTTTTGTTTAGAGGGTTTACGGTGGCTTATTCACTGTTCTTACTGAATGATTACAGCCAAAAAACAATTAGAGAGACTTCTAAATAGAGGGTTGTGATAGTCTGACAGGTCTACCTTAAGGGATGCAATTAAAATACTTGACTATAAACGACTGTGACCAATTGGTAGAAAGATACAAAAACAACATGAGAATTGTCTGGCCAAAGATTGCTCATATTCCAAATATTCTCATTGATTACGAGCGGATTCACAAAGAGGGCCAGTATCTATTGAATTAGGTTGTGATAGAACCTGTCCTGCAAATTACTCAGACTACCAGCAAACCATACACATTCACAAGCCAAAATCTCAAAAACAGTAAAAGGAACTAGTTGTATTAATCTCAGCAGACAATATATCCACAGACAAAATATATATTCCAGCAATCCTAGCTCAATATTTAATAAGCAAAACAACTCAGAAATAGTCAGTAAAATGCAATAAAGGGTACAACCCAGAAGGATAAGTAACAGACTGACTTCGAGGGTCAGCCACCTCCCAAATACTGACTTCGAGGGTCAGCAGCCTCCTTTCCAATTTACTTTCCAAAAAGTCCCCTTCTTTCTCTCCCTCCCTGTTTTTATTCTTTCCTGGCACCTATTGTGCTCCTAAATGAATTCTCCTATATTCACTCCCCTCAAGCCATCTGTCCTTTCTAACAAACTCAACCTTTTACGCACAAGTGTCAGCAATATTCTTCTGCTTTTTACCCCTGCTCTTCCTACGGTATACCAGTCCTCCTGGTTGCTCATCAGGTTGCTACTTCTCTTTTTACGTTTATCTATTTATTATTAATATTTAATTTCATTGTGTTACACATTTTCTCTTTAATTTATACAGTCTCTAATTAGAGAAATTTAATTGATTCTATTAACCCAATCTTACTTTATATCTGCCAATCTTTCAAGACTCCTGAGAGTTGACATCTTCTCTTTTCTGATAATTACAGAGCATAACTACTTCCTCATATCTTTGCCCAGACAGAGTAAATGAATTATTCTGTGGATCTTCTTTCGCATAGCAATTCACAGCATACCCACAATTGTACAGGTAATTATCAAAAACGTAAGTTTCCATATTTGGCGTTAATGCTAATTAGACTGATTTGATTCTGAGTTTATGTATAGCTTAACACACTATTTCTACATATTTGTTTGGGTCTGCTAAACAGCAGTCCAAAATTCCACACTGTTTAGTTTTAGAACTTTATTTGTTGTTGAATGTATAAGAATTTTTTTTTTTTCGTTAACAGGAATAATTTAGGATAACTTAATCGGGTGGAAGCAAGAAATGTGTCAAAGGGGCTTAAAGCATTCATTTGAACTCACTTCGTGGAGGCCTCTCCTATTGCTTGAATGATTTTGCATTTTGGTCAAAAATAAAATTGTAACAGTTGATCAGAAAAGACTTTGTGATTTACTAAATCCAGAATGAATATCATTCAATTTTCTTGATTCTACTCTCGATGATGGATGAAGCATGGCATACATTGCTAAAACAAAGGTTAAACTTTGTCGAATTATTGTTTAGAAGGAGTTTCTTGATTTCTGTTCTATTTCTAAACTTGTGTGGGTCTCTGCTAATTTTTACGTTCACTCAGTTTCAGTCAAACATATGAGCTTTTAACTTCTTCTGATTGGGACAGCTATCAGTAAGGATTACTCTACTAATGCTTGAAGAAGCTTATAGCATAAGTTTGGTGATGGACCTGCTGGACAGGTATGTGGCGAGTAATTCATTTGTCTGTAGTTTTTAATTGGTGATGCAGCGGAATTTGGATAAACACTAAATATGCTCTAGCATAGTGGAATCCACGTACGATGACTCCCGAATCCACAAGGAGGCTTGTTGAATCTACAAAAACACGTTGAATCCTCAACAAAGGCTTCCAAAGGAAAACTTTATAAATTTTATTGATGATAACTTTGAATAACTTGAAACAAAACCTTATATATAATATGCTAATCGTAATTCTACAAGAAAAAATAATTAGAACAAAATAAGAAATCCTAATAGTACTAAAACAAGGAATTATGAAATTGGAAAATAAACTTAATTAATTCCTAAAATAACTAGGTTCCTAATGAAAATTAGGAAAATAACTTAGGCTAAATCAACTTGAAAAATAGGAAAGCTTGTCCTACATCAATTAGTCTTTTTAGACTTAATTCACTTATCTGATTCTGTTTCCTGTTATCAGTTAAGCATCATGATTCTGACTGCTTCACCATAAAGTGTGCATGTAGTAGCCAACTAATGGGTAATATATATCATTCTCTGTTTTCATTTCTTTTTCTGCCGCATTCTTGTGGTTACAAATATGCATAACAAACTTAATGTATATATTAATCTGAAAACATTTAGTTTACTAAAGGCATGTTTGTTTGTTTCTTACTTTTCGGAAATTTATTCGCGACATGTTTGGTACTAATGGATTGAAGCAAGATATTTTTCCGTCTCAAATGTTGAGCTAAATCCAATTGTAATTTCTTTATTTACTTTTCTTGTATCCTTCAACATTAACTTGCTTCTATGATTTGATGAAGACTACATATTATGATTGTATTGCAGAAATAACATTTATTTTGTGGCCTAACGAGAATAAGGTGGCTGGATTATTCATCGACCCAGAGAACTTCAAGGTGATAGTCTGATTTCTTTTACTTGCTTTTTTTTTTTTTTTTGTCCTGTCTTCTCTTATTTCCTTTCATGTGCTTTCTTTACATTAATGGAAAGATACTGAAATTCTAACATAAAAATCAACAGAAACAAGGTTTGTGAGGCAATTAATAGAATGCCAGAAAAGCAATGTGGCCGGTTAATGGGCGTATCTGGCACCTTTGAGCTAACTGTTGGGAAGACCTTACTGTTTGCTTAGTCAAGAGTTATGCAAGTACTAAGAACACTTGCTGATTCTGCAATCGAGGGTGATATTTCTAAAATTAAGTCAATTTTTCTCTAGAAACTTTGTTCCAGGAATGGACTGCAAAAATAAAACTGCAGTGTGGAGAGTTGGCTAGGATCACTCACTTCTGCAAGCATAATTTTTGTCCATTGCAAATAAAGGTTCATAGATTATTTTTTAGTCTACTCGTGAAAATGATGACACACTATTTTATGCTCTCTGCTGTATAATTTTCCATTGCTTTATTGGTAGATTTACATTTTAATTAATTTTCTAAGTTTCTGATACAGCTTGAGGAGTACGGTCTTGCTAGAAGTAACGGTACAAGCTTAGGTGCTTTAAATTTTAGGACTGCTACACTTATACAAGAATTGGAAAACATTGGCTAGTAAGTATTGTATTACATATTTTCTTTTTTGTCCTTTTAGTTCCTTTTCCTGTATGAACAAGTTGTTTACAAAAGGTACTTTTATTTATTTTTGTCTGTTCAGAAATTTATTCGGGACATGCATTATGTGTATCAATGCTTCCAAGCGAGACATTCTTCCATATGAAATGTTGAGGTAAACCCAATTGTAGACTATTTAATTTTTCTTGTATCCTGCAACATTAGTTTGATGTTCTGTGCCGATGAAGACAGTATATATTATGATGTTAAGCATTGCAGAAATAAAATTTAGTCTTTCAAATTTTGTACTCAGGTTAATATATTCAAGAACTTAGATGCATCAATATGTTCTAGATTTTGCACATTAAGAAAGGTAAATAACTCACGCTTGTTTGCTTGTAAGAAACTTTAAACAAGCCCTTTTTTGAACTCTGTTACGGACATCGCGTGGGAATGTAATATTGATTAAATTGTTGTTTTAAGTAAGAAGTTATTGTGGTTTGCTATACATGAAAAGCTGCTTTTCCCTGATCATCTCCCTCTTAATTTGGCTTTGCTTTTGCCTCCTGCTTTAATTATAGAATCATTTATAGGAAGATTTTCATATGAGTTTGAATTTGTTTTGGATGCAGTTTGCCATAGATGATCCTTTTATCGTCTAGTGTTGTAGTTCTCATCGATTTCCTTTTTTAGCTTATGCAGTTGTGGAGATCATTCTGCAAGCTGGAGAATCAAATTTTTAATTTAAAATCACGTTGAGAAGGTTTAGCTTTCAGTCCTTTAGAATACTTCACTTTCTCTAACTTAAAAAATAGGATTTCTTTAGTCCATCAATAGCACCACTCTTTAGTTTTGTTTCACTTGCTTGTTTCAGAGTCCTCAAAGGTCAACTTGGTTGCTGTATTTGTACGTGGCATGCGTGTGGAAGAAGCATTGTCGCAGTTACAAGAACTCATAAAGCCAGCTGCAAAAACTGTATCGTATCAGTCATTCTGCCCGAGCAAATGCCTCTCATAATCTTTGTTGGAGAGGCGTTTTTGAAAAGAAGACTTGTCTACCACGCAGAGGGAGAACGTGAAGTTAAAAGAGCAGATTGTTGTTTGACAGTGGTGGTGAGGGAAATGACTCCGTCAGAGGAGGTGGAAATTGCCCAGCTGAGGGTCCACAATTTTCACAACTCATCCAGTAGGGATAAGAGGCTGTGTAAGCCATAAGCGATTGAGACAACTTCAAATTGGAACCGCAAAGGCAAAAGCAGCAGCCGTGAAATCAAACGTTAATTTCTTCATGTTTCTGCATTTTCTTTGGAAGTTCTATATAAGATGCATTTTCTATATTTCACAAAGGTAGTTGTATCTAATCATTGATATCTGCAATTTATGTAATCAAATCCAAGTCAAAGACCATTTCATAAGTTGCGTTCTGTTTTGCTTTCAATTTAAAAAAAAAAAAATATTTCTGCAACGTTTCTTCCAAATACAAAACTAGAACAGAGTAGTTTTAGCTTCCTCTATTGCTTTTGTAAACCTTGTTTTCTTGTACACAGAAAATGATACAAGAACAAAAGTACATGATTCATTCTTCTAGAAGGCAAGATAATTAAAGTAAACACAATGATTTTACAATGAAAGGCGGCCATAAAAGAAATTGGCAAATCAGGTTTCAGGAACTGCCAACCATTAGCAAAGTTCAGTAGGCAACAAAAATATCAAATCCAGAACATCTCGTGACCAGTTTAACATACCTTGAAGTCGTCCCTCAACACAAGGAACAGGTATACGGCGACCAGAAAATTAGCAATCCAGTAGAACAGCATCATGGATCATTTTTTAAATCGTAAATCCAAACATCTGCAGGCAAATCAGCATATTCCCTTACGAGGAAGAATTGTCTTCAGAATCCTGTAGAAGAAATGGCCAATGAGAATGAAGTTTTCAACTCTTCAGCATTGCGATTATTTTGCATGCAGCTGAAATCCAACAGCCACAATCAAATTAACACACCAATCTTGAGCCACCCAGCAACTGATGCATTCAATCCAACAGCATTCAGGATGATCACCATAACTACATAAGGCACATAAAGAATTGATGAAGAACAAAATAGTAACAAAGGACAGAAGAACACTACGGAAATACACTCAGTTTCACCTCAACATTTCAGATGGAAGATTATCTAGCTCCAGCGCATAAAAACAGAACATTTTACAAATAAATTTCTGAAAAGTCAAAAGAAAAAAAAAAGGTTCTTTTAGTAAAGTTATAATTTATATAGAAAAATACCATAAGAACAAAAAAGTATATATGTGATACTTACTAGTCAAAGTTTCCTTCGCCTTGAGTGCAATACCCCCAATGGTAAAAGAGCACCACAGGATTCATAGTCACTTCTAGCAAGTCAACCTCAACTTCTGAATCAGTGACATATAACTTAGAAATTGATTAAAATATAAATCTACCTAAAGAACAATGGAAAATCATAGAACATAGGGAATAGCATAGTATGTCTTATTCATGAGCAGAAATCTGAGACTAGAAAGAGATCCGTGAACCTGTATTTGCAATGCATATAACTTAAGTTTTGGGAAGTGAGTGATCTTGACCAACTCTCTGTGCTACTTTATCTTGACATCTTCCCTTCAAAAGTAACTTTCTAGACAAAAAATGGATAAATTTTAGAAACTGACCCTGTAAATTATTATTATTCAGAAAAATTAAATTATTATATATTGGCCTAATATTGAAATATATTGGAAGGTTATATATAAAATAGAACGAAAATAATATCCACATTGAAGATTTGTGGTGTGCAGCTCTAAGAATTGAGTTTTCCCCAAACTTTAATTTCTCTACTGCACGCATCCAAGGATCCATAAAGCAGTCTTGTGCATCACCAACTCAATGTAGTGTCAGCCACAGTGAAATGGGGAGAAACAATTATACGACTAACAAAGCCATTGTCATTTATTTTTCAGTCACTGGTATACAGAATTAAGGAGACAAAAAATACAGATTCTGAATTGACTTTATAGAGAGCTTCAAAACTAAGCTTGTTAAATTCCATCAACTACCTTGATATTATGCTGCAGCATGAGATGTAGTACAAAGGAAACAAAAATTAAAAAAAGAAACCCTTCAATACTCAAGGGCAATTCACAAATAAAGATTGCAATGGGAAGGTTTTGCTTTCAGTCTGAAAGAGATTCAATGTACATATATTCCATTTTCTGAAAATATCAAAGTAAGCTCAAGTTTTTTTGGATTTCTCATCAGTTATTTGTAATCTTATAAGAACAAGGCAAAGAAAGAATAGAAAATAATGAATGAAATGTATTACCCAATTAGTTTCTGCTAGTTTCAGCGAAGCAGCAAGACTCAGGGTGCAGCACCTAATCAATTGTTGATTTACTTCAATGGCATAAGCTCTTACAAAATTTTCAAACAGAATAAAAACAGAAGAATCGATAAAGAATAGTAATACTACACATACATCATTCACATACATCATTTTCATACAACATTTCTCATACAACATTATATGACAAGATATGATTGGCTAATTTAAAGTTAAAATTAAACTTTCACTCAATCATATCTTGCCACATAATGTTGTATGAGAAATGTTGTATGAAAATGATATATGTGTAGTATTATTCGATAAAGAATTGTGTGGTGATGTGGCACATGCTTTACCACATCAGCAGTGTTGAAAAGTAAGTGACACCGTTTTGAATGGGAGGACTACTTCTATTTTGTTTTGCTTCATGTCATTTGCTCAACTAAAAGAACACTCTCCATTTCTTCATCTCTTGACTCATGATTATAAAAATGAATGACAAGATTGAGTGTGATTATCATCTCACGGCTGGAAGGGAATATAAATCCAGGTGGAGGCTGATTAAAGGGGTTATCACTCTTGTATAAATTCTTACTCTTGGGTTTACAAAGAGTAGGGGGAAAAACAAGGGAGGCTAGGGTTTTAGAGGTGATTTTTCTTGATTGTTTTATATTAAGGTTAACCATACTCTGTAATCAATTAACCTTGGTGATTGAATGAAATCCTTCTTCATCTTGGAGAGTGGATATAAGCCTTGAATGTCGAACCACTATCTATCGTCGTGTCTCTTTTTTCATTGAAGTTTGTTTTAAATCCATTGTTCATTTTGTTGCAATTGGTTATTTATTCTCAATTAGATTTTAGATTACAATCTTAACAAATTGCTTAGCAAAGAAAAGAGAAATTCTCTTTTTTTCTAATTTCAGATCAGAAGTGCTAGATAAGATATTTAAAATAAATATAGATGAAATGACAACCACTCACTTTGTTTCTAGTCATTAATAAGTTGCAGCGCTCAAGAAAGTATCTGCAAACAATATTTCAACAAGTTTGACCTTTGTTATAGCAATGTATGCTATGTTCAACTGACCACTGAAAATAGAAACAAGGGAGTAAATGTATAATGTTATTCAATCTTGATGTCACACATCATAAGTCTAAAAACACTATAATTGAAAAATATATGCTATGAATTAGTTCTCCAAATAGAAAAAAATTTACGTAAACTACAAACGTATAGCTGGCCTAATGTATCGTCTTATTTTAATTGCTGAAATTTTTATAATTAAAAGAACACTAGCATAGTTAGAAGAAAAAGATATTGAAGTATATCTCCAAATCAGAAACAGTATTTGTATCACCAAACTGCAAATCATTAGAGCTCAGACGAGCAATCCTCGCTGACAATTCTTTCTAGATCACATTTCTTGCTTCAAAACCTAATTGATAACTTAAACTCATGTATCCCTTTTAATAAAAAATTTGAAAAAAAAATAAATTTTTTTTTTGAATCAGTGCATTGTTAGGAAAATTTCCTAATTGTGGGTTAACATCAATTATATGTTGGTGTTGATTAAAACCGGGTAAATTGATAGTCCACTGATATACTAATGGGTTTAATATGATCGTATTAAAGTTTAGCTCATTACACTTCATTTGATTAATCTGGATTGACAACAAAGTGTGGACCTGAAGGTTTATTAGGCCTTCAATGAGAGGGCCCAATAAACTATTATTAAATTGGCTAAGTGCCCTTTCCAAATGCTATAAGATAACTAAAACCTATTTTGGAAGTTATCATTCAGTTTGCGTTATTGGAAAGAAAGACTTACGCTCTCTGACTTTTGGGAAAAACTCTTGCTCCTCTTCTAAGAAATTCAAGAATCAAGAATCATGGCACAAACAGGTTTGTCTATAACCATTTACTATTAATTCAGTATTTTATAAATTAATATGTGGGTTATTAAGATCTGAATGCGTTGATATTATATTGATTATGTAATTCAATCTTTATGATTTTAATGCATCGATTTATATTCACATTTGGTGAATAGTTCTTACATGTGGTATCAGAGCCACACATATTAGTATATAAGATCTGAATTTTGAGACTATAATTGGGAACAAAATCAAAATTGATTTCAGAGTTCATATTGAAATTAGGGTTCTTGAATAAATAAGGACCCCAAAATTGGGGCTTTTATGTTTTGAACCCACATATGGCTTTTTCGGCCATTTGAGAGCCTTTTTCCTGCCATTGGAGGGTGGAAAAGGCTGAATTTTTGCTGTTGGAGTCAAAAAATACAAATCTAGAATTTCTAGATTGTAGGGGTTAAATTATCGTTTTCTTATACATTTGGGGGTAAAATGTAATTTTATAAATATTAGGGTTGTTTTTTGATAGTTATTAAATTATGGTTAGCCAACCCGATTGGGTCAAATCGGGTACTCGGTCAATTAGGGTCAAATCGACCCAATAAAGTCAAACTGAGTCAATAGACTTGGTCAATTAGGTCAACCCGACCTGAAAAGTCAAAGCGGATCATGTGACCTGATTAGGTCAACTCGGGTAAACCCAACCCAACCAAACCGAGTCAACCCGACCCATCCAAATCGGTTCAACTTAGTGAAACCGGGTTGTTGACCTCGCATGCAGCAGCGTGGAGGCGCGTGAGTGCACGTACGAGGCACGTGGTGGCACGTAACGGTGCGTGAAAGTGATTTCCCAACTCGTGATTGCGTGTTTGAACATGTATGGATGCTTGAAGACGCGTGATAATCTTTTCTAGCGATTGAATGTGTTTCTCAGCATGTGAATGTGTCTATCGGTGCGTGACAATGCGTGAATGTGGTTGTCCAGCACATGGAGGCACGTGAGATCATGTACGGGGGTGTGTCAGCACGTGATGTGATGTTTTAATTGCGTGAGAGTGCG